AAGAATTTTGTAAGGAAGGCCGGGTTACGGTGGAGTTCCTAGGATGCCCGATGGAGAATGGATGGGAGGTTTTATGGGTAGATATTATTATGGGGACGCGACCGTGGTTGAAGTCATAGCTATTGTAAAGGTTGTGGAATAGGCGTGGGGAAGGGTGTTAGAGATGTTGAAATACAATCAGATGTTATGAATGTGGTGAACTGGATTAATGAGCGTGTTATATTAAGAGGTACAATCCGGGATATCTTTGAGGTTGCTGTCAACTGGATGGACAAGGATTGAAAGACGATTTTGATCCGTGCAATTAATCTACCGCAAGCAAAACAGAGTAAACAGAGTGGCGGATGCTCTTGCTTCCTTGGGGTTAATGATATTGTGCGGGTGATGTGTGCTCATAGAGCGAGGGAGAGTGCCTAAATTGGGTCTCCCTCCGGATCTCCCCTCCTGTCTTGATCTAAAAAATCGAGCAAATTACACTTTTGGTCCTATGACTATAGGGGGCGTGTTAATTTCGGTACTTGACTTTCAAAATTAACAATTTAGTCCTCTAACTATACAATTTCTAACACATTTGGTCATTCCGGCCAAATCACCGGTCAAATTTGGCCGGAAAAACGTAAACCTTTTAAAATTATTTATTCATGGGGGCAAAATGGTCCTTTCGAGTCACTTCCTCCTTCTTCCTTGCACCGCTGGCCGGAAACGGAAGAACTGATACAGATTTTTTTATTTTTGTCGTCCAAATGTAGTGTTGGCTTGGGCGGCACATTTTATCCACAACCACAAAGCAACAGCATGAAGTTTCTGTTAACTAATTGACAAAACAACTTTGCAGTCATCCACTAACTCCATCGTCTTCCTCTACGGTAGCAAGAACCAGAGAAATTTGGGACATTTTTGCTCTGGAGATATATTGGCAGCATCACAATAAAATTAGCATTTTTGCTCTTCACTTCATGTAGTTATTCAAATCTCTTCTTAGTATTACATATTGCAATATTTTAAAGCCTAAAATTGGTTCATTTAAAAAAAAAAAGCCTAAAATTGAGATTTCAATCTCTGTTGCCAATAAGATAGAAATTTGGGGATTAGAATAGAAATCATATATATGATTTCATGTTGCCAAATGTTTGGAAATGCTGAGGAATGATTCTGCTAAGATGAGTTGAAGGTGACCATGTATCCACCGCCGTTCACCACTCATGGCTTCTCCGAAAGCCAGAGGATGCTGATTTTTGGTCTTAACTATGCTTCCAACAAAGCCATCTCTGCCGTGGCCTCGCCCTCTGGCAAGCTCGCACCACCGGCGGTCCTATACAACATCGCTGCAAATTGTTGGACCCATTTTTGTTAACTAGCACCTGACATTGTTGCAAAGGAAGAAGAACGAAGAAGGAGGAGAAGGGAGAAGAAGAACATGAAAGGACCGTTTTGCCCCCACTTATATTTAATTAAAAATGGGTTACGTTTTTCCGGTCAACTTTGACCGGTGATTTGGCCGGGAGGACCAAATGTGTTAAAAATTGCATAGTTACAGGATTAAATTGTTAGTTTTGAAAGTCAAGTACGGAAATTAACACGCCCCCTATAGTCACAGGACCAAAAGTGTAATTTGCTCTAAAAAATCAACAAATGTGGATTCAACACCTGAAAATTAACAACATATACGTACATTAATTTCATAACATAGAAAAACAAAAAAAAAAATTACCTGCATGGCTGCATGCCATCCACTTCTGGATTTCCATGCCTTTCAATCAAAACCATATTGATAATTTTGCATGCATATAAATGGTAAGATCTAAAAAGATAGTTTATTTGGAAATAAAAGATTAACTAATAAGTCTGCATGCATATAATTAAAATCTTCCAGGGGAATTATAACATATATATGTAGGATTGAAACCCTATTATATTTTGACAACAAAACTCGATCGGAATGATTTCAGGGCTTAGCCCTATCCTTATTCTGGTCGCCAGGATATTGCTAGGTAACATGATGACGATTAGAGATAAACAAACCCGACCATCATTAACACTTTACCTGACAATATCCTGGCGCCAAAACAAGGATATCTAAGATTAAGAAAAAAACAACAAACTCCTCCTCCTCCCCAAATCAAACAAGCCCTGCCCTAAAAATACACCTAAGCAACAAATTAATAAACCTAAAAGAAAAACAAACAAATATATATAAAAGTACAATCAAATCAATTATAATATTCAAATTTCAAAAAAGAAAAATAATGAGAGTTTTAGTCGCGAATCGTTAAAATGGCAGGAGAATATATAGGGGGGAAATGGCCTAATAATAGAGGCAAAGTGCGGGTCTTGGTTGTAAAAGCTTTGAATGCAAGGGGTAGATGGGAAATTTGGTACAGGAAACAGCATCAAGCAGTTGAAAAATGCAATTTTCATTTTCAAGTCATGCAAAATGAGCGTGGAAATCTGGCATATTACTTTTGAAAGTGTTTATTTTTTTTTCCTGAAAAATTAAGTCAAAAGAAAATATTTATCCTAGTTAAAAGGAAAAATGAACCATTTTGACAAAAAGGTATCTTTTGAAATTATTATTCTGAATACATTTTTTAAATTTCTATCTCACGTTCAATCCTCCCTCTCTACATTTGAATGGTGTCAAATGGGTGGATTGACCCGCGGCTATCTATGTAGTTGTAATTTGATTCTTAAAGAGCCAGTTCTGACCATTTGCGACAAGGGCGACGGTACATACCCCAAAGGAAAAATCTAGAAGTATGTTCTGTTCACTTGAATCCTACCCCATATATATATATATATATATATATATATATATATATATATATATATATATGGTTTGCGTTCACATGAGAACACCCTAAAAAACTAAGGATAAATCTAATTAGTCATAGAAATTAAGTGATAAACAGTTACGATTAAAAGTTAACACCTTAAACATGCGCATAATCAGCAATCTAATCCCCATCAATATCAATTAAGGGGCAAATCAGTCTAAGCAAAATTCTAAACTTCAATCTAAATAGGTAAGTCAATGATAAAATGAGAGTTTCTGTATTGTTAAATCCTTTCATTTAAAGAGTCAATAGTACTCAAAAAAATCTTTTCATTTAAATAATAAATTGTTGTTGTTGTTGTTTATAAGAAAATTTGATTATGTTAATGTTGGTGCTTTAATTTGGTGAGACAAACACGTAGTGTTGTGCTGTACTCTAGGCAATCGTGTGCACCGTAGAATATCGCCATAATTGTGTGTGCACACGCCAGACTCATATATTACATTGTGCACACTCTAAAATTGCATTATGCACACGTTCACATTGAAATGCACACATACAACATCATGTACTACTACAAGCAAAGGTGCACGCATATGTACTATAGTCCACACATGCCAAATTTACAATGCACACACATATCACATGAACACAAAGTACGCACTAGGCAACGATGAGGTGCACACATATGACGAAATCCAACAACGATGAATGATAGTGAAAATGCACACCTACCGAGACCACAGTGCACACTTGTATATTGCCCACAGAAATTACACATAGATCCATCTCACATAGGATAAACTGTAAATAAAATTTAAAGGTACAACACAAATAACACAAAAAAATAAATATTTAATACAATTTATACTAACAACACAATTTTTGTTCCAATTACTACTATTATTGGCTCTTAGATATTGGGAGTGCTTCGCAAATAGTGGTTACCTGCTGATGTGATTAGTTGGTTAATTACCAAACACTTACGGCTCGTTTGGTTTGCATAAAATATTTGAGGATGAAAGAAATTGAAATTTCATATATGGAAAAGAAATTATTAGGATGATTAATTACATTGTTTAGTTGGTGGAAAAGAAATTACTGTGAATATTAAATTGATTCCATTGTTTGGTTGGGCTTGAAATTATAAGGAATAATGTATATAAAGACCAATATTCCCTACATAATAATAATAATAATAATAATAATAATAATAATAATAATAATAATAATAATAATAATAATTGTAATTAAGAATGTTCTAGAGGGCAAAATTGTCCTACTAACTTTTCATGGAAAATAAAATACTAAGCGGAGGAGTGGAAAAAATTTTCTTCATTCTTGAGGAAAACATTTTTCAGTTAAATTTTTTTTTCACGAATCAAACAAAGGAAAATCTAATTTTCTTCAAATTTAAATAAAACTTTTTCATTGAAAAAAGTTTTCCATCGAGCCAAGCACTCCCTTAGTTTGGATGACTGACCAAGCCACTTAGTCAAAATTGATCAAATCATTTGAACATGGGCTGATTAGCCATATACCAAACCCCACCATTAGAGATAGAGATTAGAGCCCGCACGAGCTTAGCTCACTAGTTCAGTAGACAGTATTTGGAGGAAGAAATCAATATTTAAAATTTGACAACGACAATGTGAGGATTAATTATGCTTAAAGTGGACAAATCACTTGTGCTCACCGCCATTTGACCCTGTATTTATATCTTCTATTTCAAACAATCTATATCTATACTTAGGTTTAAGACGTAATATTTGGGTAAAATTTGCAGGTCATTCCTAATTCTAATATGAACTTTTACTTCATCAGTTGTTGGAAATGAACTTTATTATTATTATATATTTTTTTTTGGAAACAAACAAACACTTTCATTAATTCAAGTCAATGTACAGATTGCTTATAATAAAAGATCAGGAGTGTGAGGCCCTTAGGGTTGTGAATTCAACCTTTTGGGAAGAATAATAAAAGATCAGGGGAAGAAATATACTCATTATGTACAGACATAGAACATGCATTTCTAGCAAGAGAAAATTTCAATTTTGGTCCACTGACTATTGGGGTTGTGTTAATTGCAACACTTGATTTTAAAAAATGTTTATTTAGTACCTTGACTATGCAATTTCTATCAATTTTGGTCACGCCGGCCAAATTGCCGGCCAAATCTCACCGGAAAAATTTAATAGGTCAATTTAGGGGGGTATTTTAGTAATTTTACTCCTCTTTTTTCTTCTCCAATAATATTCCCAATTTTCCGGCGATGACTTTTTCTTCTCCGATGTGCAAGACTGTCTTCTCCAATGAGCTTATAAATGTGTTATTTACTGTCTTTTCCAAGACTGTCTTCGCCACTCCCATCTTCACCCTGCTCTCGTACTTCCTCCCATAAGTCTGTCCCAGAACATCGTTCACCTCCCCGCTCAGCGACTTGAACTTGAAGCTCAGATCCAAATGCGCGAAGCAGTCTTCTCCGGTGATCCCGTAATTATGGACCCGCGAATCCTCCTCCGTGATGAGCACCACTCTGGCTTTGATCTGGAAGTTCCCCTCCACTGCAATCACCACGGCGTTGGCGTCTTCGCCGTCGGCGAGGAAGACTGGGTGGCCGTCGAAGGCCAGGTCGAGGCGGTCGTCTGCGTCGTTCCAGGTGGGGGTGTTCTTGGCGCCGATGAAGAGTTGGTGGTGGTCGAAGAGGATGCCGAGGGATTGCACCCATGTGAAGTCCCGCTTCATGCCGGCGTTCCGTTTTCCGATGAAGTGGGCGTTGATGTGGAGATTGGGATCGGTGACGATGCAGAAATCGCGGTCTTTCTTGCCGTGGAAGTAGAAAGTGATCCCACACCGCTCATTGCCGGAAAAATGGGAATATTATTGGAGAAGAAAAGAGAGGAGTAAAATTACTAAAATACCCCCATAAATTGACCTATTAATTTTTTCCGGTGAGATTTGGCCGGCAATTTGACCGGAGTGACCAAAATTGATAAAAATTGCATAGTCAAGGTACTAAATAAACATTTTTGAAAGTCAAGTGTTGCAATTAACACAACCCCAATAGTCAGTGGACCAAAATTGAAATTTTCTCTTCTAGCAATCAATTGGACAAATTTGTTGTATATCATATTCAATATATGAATATGAGCAAACTTTGGTTCCATAATTCTTCATGCTATATATTTGGAAAAATCAATTACACGATTTATTATATATCACATTCAATATTTAAAACAAATTCTAAATATAGAAAAATTATGAATTATTTGCAAAAATCTTCAATCAAACATCCCAAAAAATAACATAAGAAGTTTTTTTAAAAAAATGAGAGAAGACTATGTGGTCTAATGGTATCCGAGTTGGACTTCCATTTGGAAGTTCGTTTCAGTAGGTTGAGACAGTATATGAACAGATACTACATTGTAATAGAGCCAACAGCATTCACAAAAAAAGAATTAAAAAAAATTATATTAGTTTTTTTTTTTTTTTGACAAAACTTATATTAGCTTTTTAATCAATTAAATAATTATAAAATTTATCAAAGAATTACAAATTATGCAAAAAAAAATAATAATAATAATAAGAGAAAATGACACTTTTTCCCCTTGTGTTATTTACATATAGCATATTTCTCCCCTGTGTTGTTTATGTAACCACTTTATTCCCCTTAATTATTTTTGAAGTGGCTATTTTCCCCCCTCTCCGTTAAATAAGTGTTGGGCTGTTAAATATGAGGGTAAAAATGACATTTCACTTATTATTATTATTATTATTATTATTATTATTATTATTATTATTATTATTATGGGCTTAAATCATACTTTGTTTTTTTATGATAGTGCTTATTTTCTCTGTCTCATCTTACTTATCTTATTTGTAATTTATTAATTAATTTAACTCTTTTTTAGTTACTTCGTTAATTTTTAAATTGTTAAATTAATTTTTTTTGTGTTTAATAATATTTTTAATAAATTAAAAAAAAGTTAAATTATACGGAGTATTAATTTAAAGAAATGTTAACATATTTTATTATATTTTATTAATAATAATAATAATAATAATAATAATAATAATAATAAGAAGTGAAATGTCATTTTTACCCTCATATTTAACAGCCCTAACACTTATTTAACGGAGAGAGGAAAAAATAGTCACTTCAAAAATAATTGAGGAGGATAAAGTGGTTACATAAACAACACAGGAAAAAAATATGCTATATGTAAACAACCCAGGGAGAAAAAGTGTCATTTTGTCTAATAATAAAGAAGAAGAGGTCAGTTTCGAAATATGTCCATTGTATTATTATTATCATTGAATTGGATTTGCTTTTCAAAAAAATGATTGAATTGGATTCTTGTGGCGGTGATCCGTAAAGTGTCGGCTATGGAACGCGGAAGAGAATGGAGACGCTTTGACTTTGTTACTGCTACTGATTCATAAATAAATTCTACTAGTAAAAATCAAGTGGAAAATCAAGTGGTTGGGTACTTAAATCACAAGTATTAATGAGCAAAAAAGTGCTTGGATACTTAACACCATTTCTCTTAGAATCGTAGATTGATATAGCATAGGGAGTTAGTAATAAATTGCTTATTATCAGCCTGTGAATATCAAGAATCTGATAGTGACCTCACTTCCCTCAACAAATCTCACTTACCCATTAATAACAGCAGATCCAAATTCCCCTTTCAATTTCTTGGAGAGAGAGAGAGAGAGAGAGAGAGTGGTAGAGGGAGAGATGTCAAGTAGATCTTGGACTTGCTTAAGATGTTGCTTGGTGATCTTTGCTGTGGTTTCAGCTCTGTGTGTATCTGGGCCTGCCCTTTACTGGAAATTCAAGAAGGCTCTAAAGCTCAAAGCCTCTTGTCCTCCTTGCAAATGTCACTGCTCTCCACCTCTTTCCCTTCTCGATGTTGCTCCCGGTATTCTTCCTCAACTCTCTCTCTTCCAATCTTTATTAGTAAAGTATTATTATTGTTATTTGGTTTCTGGGTGATTTCCAAGTTTCAGTCTTTTATGCATTTTGATTAGATTTTTCTGCCTCTAGCTTCAATGAATCTGGTTAGTTGTTTAACTGTAACTGGAATTTAGGTAATAATATTATCAAAAAGATTCCATCTTTCCATCTTTCATGTGTTTTTAAGTCTAGGGTAATTTACTAGATTCAATTTCTGTGCATTTGTTATCTGATTTTGCTGCCTCTTAGTTGGTATGGAGTGGAGCACTGTTTTGTTTATTTCTTTGAGTATAAGCTGTTACAGTACTGAAGTTAATAAGTAAAACAAATACCAAAAATTGCTGTTGATTAGTTATCATATGTGTTCTTTCATGAACAAGATCGAAGCAAATTTCCTTTGGTTTGGTATTTAATTTACCTATTTATGTTGGTTCTGGAAGTGTTGCATTTTGATTCCATGGCTATTGCCTTTAAGGTATTTCATTTTGATGCACAAAGCAAGGCACATTTCTATCGATCTATTCGTTTTGGTATATAAATGTGAAATAAAATGCTCCTTAATCGTTTTATTAGCTCATACAGGATTTCATATTAATAACGTGTTATATTCATGGATTGAGCCTTTATTATGACCAGACAAATTTACGCCTTGACCTTACCTTCTATATTATGGGTCATTTTTGTTTAAATTACAGGGTTATGGACCGACGTATTTTCCCATCTAGCCCATCTGGTCCCCCTGGTCCCCTAGTAATCCTAGGACTTGTCAAGTTGTCATTGGCTCATTGCTTGTGTGTTTGTGTGCTTTCGTTGTTGCTATTGTTGTTAGTGACGTTAACAAGTTAAAAAAGGTCCTTGCAAGTCATTTGTTTTGAAGGACTCTGCTTGCTAGATGTATTTATACTGTAACTCTGTAAGATCTCTCAAGATAGGTAGAGTGGGGAGTCTTGGCTTTTTCGATAAAGTTATGTTCGAAAGCTTCCTGCAGTGCTTACTTAGTATGGTAAACCTGTTTCTACTTTATTCGTCGGGCACTTCAAAACAAGTAGTCACAGGGTTCCTGTGAGCGAGCTCTCTATTGAAGGAGCTTTTAGGATTCTGATCAAATAACGTGTCGTAGAAAGGAAGAAAATTGTTACATTCTATAAGATTCCAATTCTATCATCTCAAATTTGTCCCGAATGAACCTAAAAAGTCCAGTTCAACTAATGCTCTCGTGTTGTTCTTGGCATGCAGGTCTGGCCAATCTTACAGTTAGAGGTAAATGTTCTCTACCCGTTTTTGTCTCGGTGAAGATCTCAATTTCGCTTTATTTCATGATATATATAATTCGTTGTTTGTAATAATAGACTGTGGGAAAGATGACCCGGATCTGAAGGAAGAGATGGAGAAGCAGTATGTGGATTTATTATCAGAAGAGCTAAAGCTGCAGGAAACGGTGGACAAAGAACGCACCCATCATATGAACATTACTGTCTCGGAAGCCAGAAGGTTAGCTTCCGAATACCAGAAGGAGTCGGAGAAGTGTAATACCGCCACAGAAACTTGCGAGGTGGGAAGAGAACGGGCCGAAGTTCTGCTCCGCAAGGAAAAGAAGTTGACAGATCTGTGGGAGAAACGAGCCCGCCAAATGGGTTGGTCAGGGAATGAGCTATAGCCTATAGGTATGATCACATAAGAGTGTTCATTTGCTTCTATAATTCATGGTTTTGAGGGGAAAAAAAAAGAAGCCATTTTAGTATAATTATGTTTACCTGTTTCATTCATATTAGCAGATCATCAGATTTTGTCTGTCATAGTTGCGAATTTGTGATGTATTAACTTTACCAACTTGTAGTAGTCTAATAACATTCATATTACCCTAGCTAAAGTATGAGCAGTCAGGTTCGCTGATCTCTTAACGTGCCGACAAGAAAAGAAATCAAAACTAGTTATAAGGTTATAACATTGTTTAACAAAACCATTATTATATGAGTATAGTGAAAGAACTATGTACTTGTTTAACAAGGACTCAATTTCCATAACATCCTGTTACCAAAGACACAAGGCTCTTAACTCCTAAGTGTATCTCATGCATCCTCTTATCTCAACTCTCAACTACATGCCAAGAGGTTAACTTTATAAATTATAACCCGAATGGGCAGCTCAGTAAGTTACAAAGGTGAGGGCTGAGAATAATGACTCGAGATCGAATCTTACCAACAGTAGTGTATGAATAACTTCTCAAAGTGAGGGGACTCCTTTGCACAGAGTAAGTAAATGTATAACTTCTGTCTTCAACTGAATTATCATGATTTACATCTTTCCAAATGTTTTGTCAGGTCGGAATGTGAGAACCCTTGGGATTGAGGATTCAACCTTTTGGAAACAACAACTTTATAAATTATAATATAATCAACAAAATTGATTCTCTCTCAAAGTAAAAGTAATTTTAAAATTTAAGAAAGAAAAGTATTGTCAATTAACAAATTGACCACAAAAAAGCATAATATTTTGGAGTAGTTTATAAGCAAGACAACCTACATATGGTGTATTCATACCATCACACTCTAACATCGAACCCTTTCTAACGTCAAATGTATATCACAAAGAGAATAAATCCCCTAAGCCGCAAAATTATATATTGGTGCTCAAAATATCATCAAATTTACATAAATGGCCCATTCTGGCTTCCCGCCTTTTCTAGATCCTATTTAAAATCAAAGCTCCCTCCCCAAATTCAATTGGAACACAAACCCCAAACCCAATTCCATTCTGATCCTAGATTAACCGTTTATGACCATAACCAAAAAATCAGTAGTCTTGGCCGTCAAGGTAAAGTAGATGAGGCCCGGAAGGTGTTTGATGAAATGCGTCAGAGAGATGTAGTCTCGTATGCATCAATGATTAGTGTTTATATTAAGAATAAGGAGCTCGTGAAAGCTGAGGAACTTTACCGTTCCATGCCGGAGAGGAATGTCGTGTCCGATTCTGCAATGCTTCATGGTTATGCCAAGGCTGGGAGAATAGGCGAGGCTCGGAGAATCTTTGATCAAATGCCTGCAAGGAATGTGTACTCTTGGACCAGTTTGATTTCGGGATATTTTCAGATTGGAAACGTAGATGAGGCACGCAGGTTGTTTCGGCAGATTCCTGAGAAAAATGCAGTGTCAAGGACTGCAGCGTTGCTGGGCTTTGCTAGAAATGGGTTGATTGATGAAGCACGTAGTGTGTTTGATGAAATGCCGTGTGTAAATGTTATAGCTTGGACTGCAATGATCAGGGCTTATGTTGAGAATCGTCAAGTTGATACAGCCCTTGAACTCTTTAATCTGATGCCAGGGCGTAATTTATATTCATGGAATGTTATGATTCAAGGTTGTTTGGATTATTATAGGGTGGACGAGGCTTTGGAACTATTTAATAGAATGCCGAGGAAAAATGAGGTTTCTTGGACCACAATGGTAACTGGTCTTGCACACAATGGGTTGACTGAATTGGCAAGGAAGTATTTTGATCAAATGCCATATAAAGATGTGGCTGCATGGAATGCTATGATCACTGTTTATTCTGGTGAAGGCCTGATGGGCAAAGCTTCTGAGCTTTTTGATTTAATCCCAAATAAGAATCTTGTTAGTTGGAATGCTATGATTGATGGATATGCCAAAAGTGGACCCGAGGGTGAAGCCTTGAAGTTTTTTCAATCCATGCTTAGGTCTGGAATAAGGCCAAACCAGACTACTATCACCAGTGTCATGACTTCATGTATGGGTGTTCTTGAGTTGTTGCAGGTTCATGCACTTGCTTTACTGCTGGGTTTCGAAAACGAGACATCTCTCACTAATGCTCTGGTCACCATGTATTCTAGGCATGGAGATCTTAGCTCTTCAATCATGGCTTTCGAGAATCTTAACACAAAGGATGTTGTGTCGTGGACTGCAATGATTCTGGCGTATGCTTATCATGGCCTTGCTAATCAAGCATTACAGACATTTGCACGGATGCTAAGATCAGGAAATACGCCAGATGAGATCACATTTGTTGGTGTCTTGTCAGCTTGTAGTCATGCTGGTCTGGTTATGAAAGGTCAGAAGCTTTTTGATGCCATGGGTCATGCCTATGACCTAAAACCGAGGGCCGAGCATTATTGTTGCCTTGTAGACATTTTAGGGAGAGCTCGGCTTCTTGACAAGGCTATGATGGTGGTGGCACATATGCCACCAGAGGAACGCGATGGAGCGGTCCTAGGGGCATTACTAGGTGCATGCAAGCTGTACGGGGACACTGCACTGGCAAGTCGGATTGGCAATGAACTAATAGAGCTTGAGCCAACTAGTTCGGGAGGATATGTGCTCTTGGCAAATGCATATGCCGCTTCTGGGAAATGGGACGACTTTGCACAGGTACTTAAGAAGATGAAACAGAGGGAAGTGAAGAAAGTACCCGGGTTCAGTCAAATAGAAGTTAATGGTAAATATCATGTATTCTGTGTGGGAGACAGGTCTCATCCTGAAATGAATGAGATTTATAAGGTGTTGCAAGAGAAGCTTCAGCCTTTGATGCAGGAAACCGTTTTAAGAGATCAAAAGCCTCTCTTTACTGATGTTACTTTCACAGCAGATTGAAGAGTACTTTTCATTCACTTGATCACACTCAAGTTCGGTTTAACTGAAAGATCAATGCAGAGGTGGTTCACTCACTTCACTGGTATTTCAGGATAATAAAAGCCGAAATTGTCAGAGATCTTGTCTTTTTTACAACACAACATACCCTGAGGTACTTCTCTGATATTTATCACTGAAAGAATGCCATGATAACCAACTTGTAATACTGTTTACAGATTTCTGTGGACTTTATGGTGAAGGGTATATTGAGGATGAATCAAGTTGTAGAATATGATAGCAGAATCCCAAGACTTTCAATGTGCTATGAAGGCAGGGTAGAGAAGAGCTTCACCTCAGACAGATCACAACTATGTTGCAAGTCTTGCTTGCAGTAAAGTCTACTGCCTCTGGTCCTTCAGAAATGATGATTGTTATTGATCCTTCTAATTGTATTTTTGCCTTTTTATTGTTCCACATGAGGGTCAAGACAAAAATTGCATAGGTTTGAAGGCAGCCTATGTCAGTAGCAAGGCTGTTGTCAGAAGACTATGTTATGAGCAAGCCCATCAGTACTATTTTTTTAACAAGTTTTTAGAAGCTATGTAGGATAGAGGTGAGGGAGGAAAAAAAAAAAAAAGAATACGAACGGTATAATTTTTTCAAGGTAGAAGTGTCAAATAGGTCCATTTACTACTGTGAAGTGTTTAATTTTCTCATAAATTAAAAATATAGTGTAATCAGCCACATTAACTTTTTAAAATGGTTCAATTAGCTTTTTTTCTAGGTTTCCCCCTATTGTGATGACTTGGTAGCCGGTTAAGATGATGTGGCATGATAAATTATTTTAATGTGTTGTTATTTATAATAGTTGGATATTACCAAAATCTCCCTAAGCTAACCCCCCCCCCCCCCCCCCCTCCCTCCATATTTTCCCAAATAAGAACCAAAACCCACCGATGGATGACGGCATTTCAGCTACCGGCGTCGGCGGAGCAAGTGCAGACTCCATTGATGACAGTCTCTCCTACTAAAAACGCCAAATCAAGGTTAGTTTTCCTTCTTCGAGCACTAGATTACTCCATTCCTCACTTTTGATTGACACAATCGGCATTCCTTCTAATTTCCTCCCCGTCATCTCATATTCGCCTTCAATAATCCTCGATTTTCCTATCTCGCTCGCTTGATTTTCAAAAATTGATTGTCGATCGTGGAAAATCTGCCTTGCATGTGGCCGATTCTGTCTTGGATCGAGATAAATCGACGATTGAAAGCCTCGTCGGACTCCTCTCGTAGCCAGCCCTAGCGGCCGCTAACTGACCGAGAAAATCTTTTTGCAAGCAAAATATATGTTGTATACGGGAAATTAAATGAATAATAGAAAATGAATAATAGAATATTATTTATACGAAAATCGCAAATCGTTGGAGAAGTCGAATTTTGGATCACAAATCGAAAACAAGCAAAATATATGTTAGGCCCGATCGTCGGAGAAGTCGCAAAAGACAAATTTTGGATCGCGATGTGAGACTTCGCAGGAGGTTGCCGATCTTGAGATTGAAGATTGCGATCACCTCACTGATGAGTGACGAAGCTTTGAGAGGGTTGCGGAATGGCATCGCCGGGCTTTGATTGTCCATGCAAAGGCACGATCGTCGGCAAAGCTTCGAACGATGCAATCGTAGTCAGATCGCGCAACGTCTCTGCTAACTTTCGATCGCCCAATTTGAGCGACGCCGATGAAGGTGAAAACGGAACGATTCTGGTGGGTGTGCTGATGATGAAGGCGGTGGTGGAGGTTGACTGGGATGAAGGCACTGCCATGTCATTAAATTTATTAAATTTATTTTTCAGGTCAACCAGGTGGATTGGGCAACCAGGTAGTAACGTGCGAAAAAAGCTAATCGAACAAATTTAGCTGGTAAGTATGGCTAATTACACTATATTTTAATTTGTGGGGTAAATTGATCACTTCGCAGTAGTAGATGAGCCTATTTGACACTTATGCTTTTTTTTTTTTTTTTTACCCAGAATATTACAAATATTTACTTTTGTTGTGTTGATTAGTTATAGAGCAAATACCAATTTTGGTCTCACGAGTATTAATAAAATGACAATTTTGGTCAACATGTTTAATTCCTACCAATTTTCATCCACGACTATTGTTTTAGTGCCAAAATTTATCACGTCGGTCACCCATCCGTTTAAGACATGCCGAAATCTAAAATTTTAAGGGTATTTTCATCATTTTCAACTTAAGATCCCAATTTGAGCATAAATAAAGAAATTAAGTCTTAAGATCGATCCAATTCGCAATTCTCTTCATCATCCTACCTTAATTTGAGGAGAACTGCGAATTTGGATCGATCTTAGGGCTTAAATTCATTTATTCATGCTCAAATTGTGGTCTTAATTGGAAAAGGACGAAAATACCCTTCATAATTTCATATTTCAACATGTCTTAAACGAAGAGCTGACTGACATGATGAATTTTGGCACTAAAACAATAGTAAACAATAGTCATGGATGAAAATTTGTAGAAATTAAACATGTGGACCAAAACTGTCATTTTGCTAATACTCGTGGAACCAAAATTGGTATTTAGTGATTAGTTATATATTATAATTGATAAATATATAAGTAATAGTTCATAGTAAAATATATTTGGTTTAATATATAATATTTAATTAGGTAAATTATTTTGATAATTAATGTATTCAGAGTATAATTAGGTAAATTGATTTAATATTTAATACTTAATCAATAGAATATTTAGGTCAAAGTACCCTTGTATTATAGTGCTTTGTTCAATGTAGTCCTTCTACTTTAATCTTGTTCATATTAGTCCCTATATTTTAAAAATTGAAACAATTAAGGATAATAGTTGATGTGAACAAATATTTATGTATTTATTTCGGACATATTAATGTAATATATGGTGGTAAAAATAATTAATTTTAAATATTTATAAAATAAAATATGAGTTGGCATGTAAGTATGATGATTTGACAGAGATAATGTCAGCACCACATAAGCTATTGTCCTTAATTGTTTCACTTTTTAAAGTATAGGGACTAAATTGAACAAAACACTATAGTACAAGGACTTTATAGGTACTTTAACCGAATATTTAATCGTGTAAGGGTACTTTTGGTATAAAAACATTAAAATACAACCTTTTAGCATAATATATAATGTCACAAGTACAAGAAATACATACATAAATTAGGGATGTAACATGACTCCTCAGTTGGAGTAAGGTGGCGGTTAGGCTCCTTATGCGTATAGTAAGGTAGAAGACTGGCTGAAAGCTTGAAAGGCTGCTCATGGGACTCGACTTTACATCTTCTAATGACTCTTGGGGTAGGAACGGGAGGCTAAGATTAATTTGGCTTATGATGAGAAAGGGCTATGTATTATGGTTTAAACTAGTCAGCAGACCAAGAAACAGTTACAAGTATTCATAAAATGAATGAATCTGCTAAAACATAAACGAATCCTAAGATACTACATTGTGCTTCAGCAGATTAAGAAAATAGCGATGAACAGATACTACATTGTAATAGATTAGTAGTACTCAAATAAAAGAATCCTAAGATGAATGTATGTACACATGGGAACCATGTGCATATTTGCTAGCTTCATATTGCAAAAGGTTGCAGAGAGGAAAATGAAATGAGAAAAATCAGGTAAGTATGCATCAAAGGTGTAGAGTTAATGAAGCAAGAAAAATAGTACATAAAATTGAGAAAGAAGGCAACAAAAGGAGAAATCAAAGTCTAAGAATGCTTGTACATTGGATAAGCAGGAAATTCCTTGAGTTTGGGATTGAAACTTTTATAATATGGCAGGCAGTACTAGTCAAAGACTAAGAATGATTAATTGGCTAAATAACTATCTGACAGTTCCCAGCTACCTAAACTTTATCCAATCGTTGCAGCTTCTTGGATCAAGAACAACCACGCCCCCGGAATGCATCATAGAACCTGTCAGGTTCATGGCCCAAATGAGTAATCATTGAATCCGAATTGCCCATTTTGTTCCTGCATCATGGGAGGGATATCAGAATGAAATGCGGGCATTATTAGTGTTGAGCATATAACCATTAACCATTAATGTGCAATCCAACTATCAGCTTAGGCTTTTAGTTGAGTTGGAGCACATGCTTCAATTTGGTATCAAAGCTAGACCAAAGGTCATGGGTTCAAATCTCTACGTCACCGAATTAAAGAGACATGGTTGGAAGGAAAGGATGTCATACCTCATTGATTACTCCATTCATTAAATCATCCAGAGAAGCATAAGCGCCCTGTGCCTTTGCGGAGTTCAACATGTAGTCTCCATTGGATCCCATCCTTGAGTCTTGACTGAAATTTTCGTTCACATTGGGCTGAAAGAGAACCACAGAGCCTCCATTTTCTTGACCAATCAAAGATGTGTTCGTTTTCATATTGAACACATCGTTATTTTGGTCAGCGATCTGGGTTAAGGAAGGCATTAATCCAGTACCAAGAATCTGAGAGCTCGGGTTGCTGAAAACATTATTTGAGTTATGATTCTGTTCATGATCTCCCCAGAATTGGGTAGGTGCCTGATTCACAGTCTGAATAGCATCACCGATGAAGCCTTCTTGGTATTGTGTTTGTCCCCTCGAGTTTTCCATTAATGGATAAACAAGAGGGCTGCTCTGCAAATGAGGGCCAACGAAAGAATAATTCCCTCGTACATGATTCTGATCCATCAATGGATAAACATTTGATGCCAAAATAGAATTCTGCAGATTCCCATTCAGTCCTCCATGGCCAAGAAAGTTTGAAGAGCTGCTAATAACACCGGTGTTCAAAGGCTCAGGCCTTAAAGAAGTCATATTGAGTGAATGTGGATTCCCAAACCCGGAGTTCCCTTGAAGGATTGCAGCATTGATTGGGTTACCAAAACCAGATCCAGAACCCGTGAATGTACTAGCAGCTGCGAGAAGCTTCGAGTTGTCCAACGGATTGAGGTCCGGTTCGATTTTGGTGAATTTACCGTGTCGCAACTGATCAAGCTCTAACGACGGAATTCCAAGAAACAAACTCGGGTTCTGGCTTGTGGGTGGAGCATTCGAGTTCAACTTCCCGAGAGGATCAAGGGAGTGACGAGAACCTTGGGCATGGCTCGGTTGGAGCAAACCCAATGGGTTAACGTTTTGAAGGCTTACACCGGCAGAGCTATTTAGCCTACCAAGCATGCTGCCCGGGGCATATGATGGTAATGTAGCACGGTTAAGTTGTTCGGGCCCAGCCAATGTTGGCAAATCTCCAAACCCATCGAGTGAACCCATCCGCATATATGGCGTTGCCATGTTGTCCTGTGGGGTTGAAACCAAACTGATCCTTCTCAGGTATAGCCTATACTTCTGCAACAAAGTTACTAAAATTTATTACAAAAATGTTCAAATAATAGCACCTCGTTAGTTTCTGTGAGCATATAGCCATTAATGTGCAATCCAACTATCAGCTTAAGCTTTTAGTTGAGATGCAGCACATGCTTCAATTTGGTATCAGAGCCAGACCAAAGGTCATGGGTTCGAATGTGACTACGGTCCACGTGTTGCTTGGAACTCACCTCACACGTGAGGGGGCGTGTTTCAACATATAAATTCTTCATGTGTACTGTCACACAATATCATCTTGGGTTGTATTATTAAGTCAAATTGGTACCTGGAGATGGCTTGCCACATTTTCTCGAGTAAGCCCTTCAACGTTCATCAGATCAAGAATCCTCTTGGGAACAGCTTCTGCATTTAAAGAACGGAGATGATGAATAACGTGAAAAGGAGAAGACTAGTGGAACGATAGGCATTATTGATGCTGAAAAAAGCTCACTTTCGATGCCCAACTGGTTAACAACATCAACGAACTTCCTGTGAAGTTCTACAGACCAAACGACACGGGGCTTTTTCTGCGTTCCCGGGTCTTCGTTCTCACATCTGTCGACACTCCCATCTTCCTCATCCTTTCTTCTCTTATTCAGTTTCTCATTCTGCTCTACAGTACCCGATAATTGGTCCCCCGGTCTACCTTCTTCACCGGACTTGCTATGGAGTTTGGGATCAACCTTCTTTTTCCTGATTACGTGTTGCCAAACGTTTCGAAGCTCCTCGATCCGCACAGGCTTCACCAAGTAGTCACAAGCGCCGTGAGTAACTCCCTTCATTACAAGGCTGGTATCACTGTTTGCCGACAACACTAGTGAATTTCAAAGACGTTAGAAACGTTGCAAAACTATATACGCCCCTGATAACGTTCAGAAAACGATCAAAGAAAGATGCCTCGGGATAAATTATTTGATGCAAATAAAATATAAAAATTCGAATGCTTACTGATTACAGGAAGGTCCATCTCGAGACCAACAAGCTCTAGCAGTTTGAAACCATCCATGTCAGGCATATGGACATCACTGATCACCAGATCAAACCTGTCTTTGTTTTCTCTCAACATCTCCAGTGCCATTCTCGCTTGATTTGTTACGGTTACTGCAAAAGAATCCCAAATCATATTCAAGATAAAAATTAACTTCATCGAATCTTCCATTATCACAATAAACAGTTGCAACGGGCATTCATTCAATCGAGGAATGAGGAACAAAATCTAGGATAAAACCTTCAAAAACATTTGTTGTGTTTGGCAACATTCAAACACCAACCAGCAGAACATAAACATTGGCAGAAAACAATATAATTTGAAAACACAACTCCAATTATCTACATTAAATGAGAGGAAGCAAACATAATTTTTGGTTGATTTGGACTAATGGGGGACCAATTATACAGAAAAAACACTATTTTTGGGATTTGGATTAATCCTGCAAGCAGTGTAAATAAGGAAAAAAACACAATTAGTCACAAAAGTAAAAAAGTATCACCCCCAGCACCCCCTAAAAATAAACAGACAAAAAACAAAGCCAAAAGGCCAATACTAATAAGACAAGAGAAGCTGCTAATCTCTTTTCTTCTTCTTCCTCCAAAAACATGCATGCAACATGCAAATAAATGAAGTTCTGGAACTATGATATATGAAAGTAAAAATCTCAATCTGTTAATAATACTTAATTTCCCTTGAATTTGGACACCACAACTCAACAAGGAAAAGAGAATTCATCACGATAGATACAAACAAAATTCTTAACAAAAACCTGGGCGATCAAGAAAGTTACAGACTAATTCATAAAATTCACTGAACAAGAACACTTGAGGAGAAACCAAACAAACGAAACCGGGAAGATTTAACAAGGGAGAGCAATAAACATATACCATGGTACTGGCATTTCCGAAGCAGACATTCCAACAACTTCAAGCTAATTGGGTCATCATCAACAGCAAGAACACGCATACCCACTGGGAAATTGTCAGAATAATTTTCCTTTTCAACCATTTCTCTACTTTCGTCAACAGTCATTTCTGGAAACCACTAACCCAGATTCCCAAAAACACAGAATCACAGCGCCCAAGTTTCAATCTTTACCGTAAAAAAAAGGTTTCTTTCTCCGGAACTTTACTTTTCAGGTATCAAGAAAGCCAATAAATCAATCATGTTGTGAATGAATTCAAGAATTGAAACAAAGCAAGACGAACTAGAGATTTAAACGTGGTCCCTCTCTCCTCGGCCTCCCAAAACTCTGAACGAAAATATTGCTTTAGAGAGACGAGAGTACGGATAAAATTATGAGTTTATTCCAATAGTGTTACCTTATCTTTTACGGTAATTCCAAATTTAGTTTCAAAATTATGGTTTTTGTCTTTAAACATTCAAACTATTAAAATGGAAAAAAAAAACTTTTGCTTTTTCTGGCACTTTTTTTCGACAAAGCTTGATTTTAGACATTGGTCTCGTTACATTTGAAATTATATTTTACTTCAAAACTTGGATTGAAATATTGTTGGAAATAAATTTAGAGTTCTACCATATATACTCCAAAATTTTAATACTATGCTGTTACTCCATGAGTCCCTGGGGCAAAGTGTCAGCCAGATTGATTTTTTTATACTAGAGAAAGTTCGAACATCCGACCTCTTTTAAAAGACAAGAGTGTATGGCCACTCACGCCAACCAAATTGGTTTCACCAGCACGATATTGATTAAAAACATATGTAACTCCGATAGTTAGGTCCTGGCAGTCGATGAATGTCTAGCTAGGAGTTGTCTCCTCTCAGCACACTGTTGATCGGCGAAGATGACTGAACTTCCAACAAAAGAGAGGAACAAAAACAATAAAATATCTTAAAAAATGTGATGAGATCAATTTATCCTTCTCTAAAATGGAGCCCTTCGCCAGAAAAGTTACTAGAAGGACCAAAAGTGTTCACAATTTAATAATATGAGTGTTTAAAGACAAAAATGATAGTTGATGACTAAAAATAAAATTACCACAAAAGATAAGAGACTTTCGCTGAAATTAACTTTTATACTTATTCTTACAAAAGTATTTCCGGGGTCGATGTCCCGGTCGCCGTAAAATCTAAGGTTATAACTGACGTGGAAACACCGGCTACCCATGATGAGTACAAACAAGCAGATTCCAAATGCCGCAGCAACGATCCACACCGGCTACCCACGATGAGTACAAACAAGCAAATTCCAGATGCTGCAGCAACGATCCACACCGACCGCGCCGACTGTCTTCTTTAGCTGCTGCTTATTCTCCACCGTCGGCGGTGGCCCGTCGGTTCGGCATGGCTTCTGAATCGCGTTGCCGCAGAGGCCTTCGTTTCCAATAAAGGACAAGGGATGAAGACTGGAAAATATTGGTCAGATATACGAATGTTGCCAATTTTACTGGTATAAATTATGGGGGAAAGCAAAAAGAGACCATCGGGAAGCGGGTAGGGGTGATGGCCGAGGTCGATGTTTTAGGCAACTTAAGACATAGGAACATTAAGAGGTGAAATGTCATTTTTACCCTCATTTTTAACAGCTCAAACATTTACTTAACGGAGAGCGGAAGAAATATATAGTCACTTTAAAAACAATTGAGGGGATAAAGTCATTACATAAATAATATAGGGGAAAAGTGTGCTATAAGCAAACAACTTAGGGGGAAAAAGTGTCATTTTCTCTTTATTCTTTAGACCTAATAATTAATCAAAAGTTAAAAATAAAATAAAAAATAAAAGATACATGCATATAATAAAATTCTTACTTCAAAACTTTATATATTGTTTGCAATTACATATGTATTGTACTTTTTGCTTCATTTGAAAAAGCTAGAATACTTACCAGATATGATGTACAAAACGCTCATGAGTGAGTATTTTTATGTTTTAAATATTTTTCATGAGTTAATTTTTAAAATGTCCTCCGACTATGACTTTTTTCTCAAATTAGTTCATTGACTTTTAATTGCACCTAAAGTAATTTTTCGATTATTAAATTTAAGTCAAAATGGTCATCCGTTAGTTTTGGTATTAAGTGGGTATTAAAATGAAGGGTAAAATTGGTAATTTAGATTTTGCATTCTAATTTAAAGCACATTGTCAGTTGTCACCCCCTTTTCATGTGTTTGAGACATGTATGTTGTTGGTATAAAATGTGGAGTAATCAAATTATGATATATTGAGATGCAAAAAGCCTCAACAAAAGTATGCTTTCAACTTTAGATGGTAACTTGTTTTTGCCGTTTTAAGACGATTCTTTTATTTTATTTATTTATTTATTTATTTATTTATTTATTAATTATTATTATTATTATTATTATTATTATTTGGTGGCCGGTTTAATGTATTCAAATACAATAATAACACATTAGAATATTATGTTTATATTTATTAAACCGATCAGATTATGAAATATTATCTTTTATGTAATCAATCATATATTAATTAATATTACTAGTACAATATCACGCATTACACACTTGGGTAAACACCCAATAAGAGAAAAAATTAATAAAATTATAAATAAAAAGGAAATAAAAAAAATAATTAATACATCATATCATCAACAACAAAATATGAATTACTAGTTTTACCCTTCATTTTAACACCCACTTAACACAAAAAATAACGGATGACCATTTTAACTTAAAATTCAATAGTCGTAAGACCACTTTGGGTGCAATTAAAAGTCAAGGAACTAATTTAAGAAAAGGTTATAGTCGGAGGACCATTTTGGGAATTAACTCTGTTTTTCATCTATAAAGTTTATTTAAATTTCCAAAAGTGCTTCAAGTTTTTTTGATAATTAAAAGCATTTGGAAACCTATTTTCGATAATATTTTAGAGGTTTAGTTGAAATGTTTTTCGATTTTCCTCAAAAAAAAAATATATATTTTTCGATGGTTTAAATGAAAAAAAAATATTTGTAAAAAGAAAACTTGTTTGTTCGATTGTTTGTTGTTGGTGGTGTTGTTGTTATTTTCCTTGTTGTTAATCTTATAATTATAAAGAATACATTTTAGAAATTTCTAGAGGCTTGATTCAAGTCCGAGCTCGTGTGCGCCGGCACCTGCGGGCACGAATGTCGTCGGAAATTGGCTGAGCTCGGTCCAGGCTGAACTGAACTATTGTTTCGGCCTTGGGCCGAAACTTGGCAAAGCTGAAGACCAACAATCCATTAACTCCAATTTTGAATTTAATTCTGTTAATGGGGTTGCTGTTTCGGATGTTACACAACATGTAATTAATGATGAATGCCACAAAGTAGAAGTTTTAGATATATAACAACAACAAGTATAGAGCTCACACACGAAATTTTGTTTTCAAGCCTCAAAACACTTCTGTTTCTACTCCTTTCTTAAGCCTAACTGTGTTCAAGGCTTTGCTCTAGTTCGCCGGGTTCGCTCGTTTGGGTGCTCAAATGTCAAACCGTAGCACGTTTTATCCTGGGAAACCTAGGCCATAGCGCTCCTAGCACTTTTGGGAGGTGGCAAATAAGGTTTTAAGGAAAGAGTGGTCTCTTGACTCGCGCTAAAAACCCTATACCCATACACGAGCCATCTTTCCTTCTTTCGGTTTTGATTATGCTTCTAAGCAAAAATCCTCTCTTTTTGATATAGTTTGGTTGGAATTATAATCTGTGAATTATAAGTTCTATTTGGTTGATATGTATATATCTTTTCCGTAAATATTCATGCATATAACCATGGTGATATGATATATATATATATATATATATATATATATATATATATATATATATATATATATATATATATCGGATATATATCAAATAATATTTTATATACTTGTGTGTGTATATATAAATATTATTTTGCGATATTAAATCGATTTTGATTCATAATCGCCAACACCACCCACCTATATATCCAACTACAACTATTGCATTTTATTTTCAATAATCTAATATACCTCTAGAAATTTCTAAAATGTATTCTTTATAATTATAAGATTAACAACAAGGAAAATAACACCACCACCACCACCAACAACAACAATAATAATAGTTTTAAAATTTACAAACAAGTTTTCTTTTTTACAAATATTTTTTTTTTTCATTTAAACCATCGAAAAACATTTTTTTTTTGAGGAAAATCGAAAAACATTTCAACTAAACCTCTAAAATATTATCGAAAATAGGTTTCCAAATGCTTTTAATTATTAAAAAAACTTGAAGCACTTTTGGAAATTTCAATAAATTTTATAGATGAAAAACAGAGTTAATTCCCAAAATGTCCTCCGACTATGACCTTTTCTTAAATTAGTTCCTTGACTTTTAATTGCACCCAAAGTGGTCTTACGACTATTGAATTTTAAGTTAAAATGGTCATCCGTTATTTTTTGTGTTAAGTGGGTGTTAAAATGAAGGGTAAAACTAGTAATTCAGATTTTGTTGTTGATGATATGATGTATTAATTATTTTTTTATTTCCCTTTTATTTATAATTTTATTAATTTTTTCTCTTATTGGGTGTTTACCCAAGTGTGTAATGCGTGATATTGTACTAGTAATATTAATTAATATATGATTGATTACATAAAAGATAATATTTCATAATCTGATCGGTTTAATAAATATAAACATAATATTCTAATGTGTTATTATTGTATTTGAATACATTAAACCGGCCACCAAATAATAATAATAATAATAATAATAATAATAATAATAATAAATAAATAAATAAATAAATAAAATAAAATAAAATAAAACAATAGTCTTAAAACGGCAAAAACAAGTTACCATCTAAAGTTGAAAGCATACTTTTGTTGAGGCTTTTTGCATCTTCATATATCCTAATTTGATTACTCCACATTTTATACCAATAACATACATGTCTCAAACACATGAAAAGGGGGTGACAATGTGCTTTAAATTAGAGTGCAAAATCTAAATTAACAATTTTACCCTTCATTTTAACACCACTTAACACCAAAACTAACGGATGAACATTTTAACTTAAAATTCAATAGTCGGAGAACTACTTGCAATTAAAAGTCAATGAACTAATTTGAGAAAAGGTCATAGTCGGAGGACATTTTAAAAATTAACTCGTGAAAAATATTTAAAACATAAAAATACTCACTCATGAGCGTTTTGTACATCATATTTGGTAAGTATTGTAGCTTTTTCAAATGAAGCAAAAAGTACAATACATATGTAATTGCAAACAATATATAAAGTTATGAAGTAAGAATTTTATTATATGCATGTATCTTTTATTTTTTATTTTATTTTTA